AGTATTCTATAATTTAACAAAAAAGTAAAGCTAAACTCATAATACCCATCAATTTTGCAAAGAAATATAGTATATTCCAAATGTTTATATTAAACTCAATAAAATCATAATCGTAATATAACGAATCTAATGGTTGGAACTCAAAATACAATGCAACGTAACCTTTAAACCTTTTTAGAGTCTTTGCAACGAGTATTGGAGTGTCGGGAAGTGTCGGTGAGTGTCAAACACGACACGTCAGGATTTTTGAAGTGTCGGTGCTTCATAGGTTTTAATTAATCCTTAGGAGCATCAACTGGACTCATCAAAGTCAGTGCCGACATTGAATTGTAGCATCAACATAACACATACTTCAATTGGAAAGCCTCAAAGACTGACTATGTTTTCTTGTGAAGGGAAAATTTTTTGGTGCTCCAACTCCATGTGGTCCTTCCATTCAATAAGTGACACTTGTACAAAAGTTTATTTTTATTTCTCCTCTCTCATCTCTCTTCAATACTTGTCTCATTCTGATTGGTTTGGACCACTGAATTAATGATGGCAAGGCTTAAACAGAAAGCCTTGCCTATAGTGCTTGTACTTCAGGATCATCATATTCAAGTTTCGTCCATTCATTTATTTATACAATAAGAAAAATATTTTTGCAGTTACTGCAGATAAGTTATTTGTATTTATTTTTAAAACGACATTATTTTGATATTGAAAAATTAAAAAATTATAATTATGAAGACTACAATAACTCTGAAATAAATTAAAATTATAAAAATGCCATGATTTTTGCCCAAAATGATGTCATATTAGACTTATTACATTGCAGATAACTTATATGCAGTAAGTGCAGAAAAGCGAACCCTTATTCAATATCCATTTGCAAGAGTAAATCTAGTTTGCCTCATATTTTTCAAGTGCAACAAGGAAGTTCACATCCAACATGCATTAATCTACAGCCAAAGACAACTGCTACATATATGTGTAGCATATAGAAAAGTCAATTGAACTATTGTGGCGCGCCGGCGCACAAAATATTGAATTGGGCGAAGAAAAGAGACGAAAAAGAGAATTTGAGAAGAGAGAGAGAAAATTATTATTTTTTCATGTGTCCCAAGCTCAATTGGATGAGCATGATAGGCCCGAATCACCATAAATTTTTCCTTGTGGCGCAACCTCACTTTAATTGTGAGCTTTATCCAAAAGACCCACAAAAACATGGGGATTTGTGATGGTATTTAAAAAATAAAAAAAGAATGTATACATTGCTTTTGCAATCTTAACTCATATGCTATTTATCCACTTTTGCTCTTGTTGTGAAATGTTCTTAACCTTCCCTTTATAAAAGTACGTATGGGGTGATGAAGCACTTGCTGCAAGTACTGAAGTCAATAAGAGAATAAGCGGGGGTACGTGTACCTCTGTATTTATAGAATGATGGAGGATCATGAGTTATCAAAAGATTCTGAGATGATAATGACATTTGAAAATTGAAAATTGTGATCGTGCAAATAATAATGTTCTCTAGACTATATCCTTGGTCCAATATATTAGACCATATATAACACGTCATCCACCAAGTTCAAAATCATAGAAGTTAACATTGATAGAATTATAGAAACTTAGAAACTAAGAAAGTACGATTTAATAATTAGGAATTGTGAATGAGTGCAAGGCCATATATGAAAATGCAAAAAAAAAAACCATACCCCCGAACAAGGCAAAGATTGTCCACGCAGTTGGAGGACTACTCAAACAAGCCGGGCACGCCGTCAAAAATAAATAAATAAATAAAATGAAATGAAATGAAGCAATAATGTTGTTAAAGAGTTAGAAACTTCGATTTTTGGTTGGTAAACTTCCGTATTTTTGATATGTTACGGGAGTTGCTGTCCTATTCAATGTTTTGAAATCTGTCCATAATTTAGTTATTTAAACTAATCGAACTATGATATGTAAATCACTAAATTTTATCAAATTTTATTTAGTTTTTGAAACATTAGCCTTATTTTAAACATTTTGTTTCAGAAATATTAATATTATTTATGATTATTGCTTTTCATTAACGAGAAACTTCGATAATTTGCCTAAGATGATAGCTTCAAAATTTCAATGGTATCTAAAAAAAATATTTATTAACTACTAATTCTCAGTAAATATTTACAAAGCATAAAAAATATGAATACAATTAGAAAAAAATATTTACACGACATAACTTTGTATTAATTTAAATGAAACGATATTATTTTGATGCATAATGGGTCAGGCAGATTGTCAAGGGTCTACAACTTGCTTTGTCTTTGACCTGACTTGGCTTGACCCATTTTAAAAATAATATAGGCTCGAGCTCATTAGGAGGCTTGTTTAAAAATCAGGCCACGAGCCGATTTTAGCAAGCTTGGCCTCTAAGCCTTTAAGCCTGGCTCATATTTTTAATATTTTATTTTATTTTTAATACAATAATATCATATTATTTTCCAATAATATAATATCTCGTTATTTTTTTAATAAAATAAAATCTTTTAATTTAATTTTTGCAATTTTTGTAATTTTTTCTCTTCTCACTTTGCAAACACATATTTTTTAACCCTAAATTTCTTTGCCGTCAGCACTCTTTTCCCCTCTCTCATTTACCAAATTTTTCTACTCTTCTACCCCTTTTTCAACTTATCATTCCTTCCAAATCATCTATCGCACACCATCAACTCTCAAGACTTTTATATGCAGGATGAGTCAACATCACATGCTATAAATTTGCTTATATGAAGTTGCCTTAATCTATCAAGACATGTGAATCGTAATTCTAATCCTTTTGGTGGTGCGATAAAGCAAAAAAGTCATCAAAATCTAAATCTCTTAATAAAGTTTTTATGATGTTGTTGAACAATTTATTGTATTTAACTTTTGGCTTTTGTGATAATCACAGTTATCAATTTTGTTGAGTGAAATTTTTTAATTAATGAATGAATATATATATATATATATATATATATATATATATATATATATATATATATATATAGGGAGAGTTCTTTTGACTTCAGAGTAAGACTTTTAAGTCTTACTCCCCATCTCAGCCGTTGATAGACGAAAATCAACGGTTGTTATTTATAGTGTAATTAATAATTAATTAATTAATATAACTTCCTAAACTATAATCGTTGGATAGACGGAAATCAACGGTTAGGATGGAAAGTGAGACTTATATAAGTCTTACTCTAGAGTCAAATGATCTCTTATATATATATATATATATATATATATATATATATATATATATATATATATATATATATAGATAGATTATTCTGCCTACTCTTATTTTGCCTACATTTACCTACTCCTTTCAATAATGTTAAATTACAATCTTATCAATGGTAAAGATTTACTATATAAAATAAACTCTTTTACTATTTTCTCTCTCTCTCACTGCCTCTCATTCTTTTTCTCTCATTTCCTTTCTTTCTCTTTAGTGGCGCTTCAGCATCAAAAAAAGGTGCAAGCTTTTTTCTCAATTCATTCAACCCAACCATTGTTATGAGCATTTACATAAAAAATTGAAAAGGGGTGTCAAGAAGAAACAAACCCAGATGCCTTATGTTATGGGATCAGGTATGCATGTTGTTGGGCGTAACATAGAGAGAACAAAGATCCTTTTCCCACTTCAAGGTGAAAAACAAGATAAGAAAAAGAAGGAGATAAATTGATTCGATTTCAAATTTCAACAGCAAAATAGAAACGTTATGGTAATCGTGGATTAATTCAAAGGAAGGGATTCTTCGTGGTTTTTGTTTTTTGTATTTTTGTGGTTTCTACCATGTTTAATTATATAAGATTCAAGGAATTTTGAAAATTATATTCATCCAGCAAAATTATTATGCCATTAATCATTGATTGGATTTAGATTCAAATATAAATTCAGATTGTAAATTATGCAAATCGATAGAGAGAAAGAGAAGGAGAGAGAAAGAGTGTGGGAGGTAATAAGGAGAAAAAAGGGGGGGGAATGATTTATTTTATTTCGCAAATCTTCACCATTAGATGAGATTGTAATCTAACGGTATTAAGAGACGTAGGCAAAATAAGAGTAGGCAGAATAACATGTCCTTATAACTATATATTCTTTAGAGTATATAGTTATAATTCGGTGACTGGACAAAACCTTATATCCAGTGATTGGACACACACACACAACACACACATATATATATATATATATAAATGTAATTAAACATTCTACTTCTTTACTATTTTTTGTTTTTGATTTCTAGTGTTAATTTTTTGGGTTGTTACGTGTATAGAAAAAAAAATTCCATCAAGTTTTTTTTTTTGGAAGATATATATTCTATCAAGTTAAACATACAAAAATAAATAAATAATCATAACCTATATTTTACAAAATGCAATATATCATTTTTGAAAGTTTGATAGGCTTAACAAGCCAAGCCAAATTAAGCTTTGTATTTTTTTTTAAAAAAGACAGAACAAATTTATAATTTAAATTATATAAAGTTAACAAATCAGGTCAGGCTTAAAATAAATTTTATAAGCCTAGCCCATCTAGAGTAAAGATTGACTTGATTTATTTACACTCATATTAAATGTACACTAAAACAATATCATTTTATTTAAAATGATACAGAGTTGCATGCTTTAAAATGAAAAATGTTTTTCCCATAAAATTAACAAATATTTATCAACCCCTACCTACAACAAAAAAGGCATAGCTAGTGTAATAATTTGGTATATGATATGTATTGGCTCCTAATTAGGTAGAGGACAATACAAAATTTGTGTAAAGAAGGCCGGCCACCTCACAATGTTCTATAGCTTTACACATATATTCATTTTAGCCACCCACCACTCTCATAAAATTCCTTTTTATTTTTATTTTTTCTATTCCTATTCTTTCCCATCTTTCTCTCTCACTCTCACATTTCATACCCCAAGTTTTCTTATAAATAAAACAGAAAGAGACTTGAGGGTCTTGTCTAGAGTTGAGTTGAGTTAGTGGTGAGTCACCGTGGCTTGAAAAAATGATGGAGATGGGTTCTTCTGAGTGGGTGGTCCTTGTGGCCATTGCTGGTACTCTTTTAGTCCTAAGATTCCTCATCAACAATGTAAATTTGTGGCTCTATGAGTCCAAATTGGGTGTGAAGCAGTACTCTCTACCCCCAGGTGACATGGGCTGGCCCTTCATTGGTAACATGTGGTCCTTCCTCAGAGCTTTCAAGTCTAAGGATCCTGATTCTTTCATCTCCTCCTTTGTCTCCAGGTATTAATCATCATCACCCTTTCTTTCTAAATATTAACTAACTACACACATCCTTTCTCTTAACACAACAAATTAAGCTATATTACTTACTAGCTTGAAGATGGTTCTATATTCTTGGCCTCAAAAGGCCAAAGCTTAAAGCTCATGGTTCCCAGGATCCTAAGGTCACACAGCTTTAAGACTGACACACACACACCTCTCTTTATTTTGTGTGAGTGTCACCAAAGCTGCTACTGCTACAGCTTGTGGTCCTAGAAAAGCAACATATATTATTTTTACTTTACTTATGTTATCAAAAAAAATAAAAATAAAAGAAAAGCATCATAAGATACTTTTCTACTTTATCCTTAGTTTGGAGAAAACTGTGTGAAATTAACATAACGCTACTTTCTAGTGTTTAGAATTCTAGTTTGATGCTTCTAAACAAAAACAAACAAAATTCATTGAGAGAGAGAGAGAGAGGAGCTGCACTTGTTTGTCATTTTCATTGTCACTTAACTCCTCTCTCTCTCTCTCTCACACACACACACACAAGACACAACAGTGTCTCAAGTTTTTTTTTATCTTTTTTTCTGAGATGCAGTGCAGAAGTCACAATTTGTGGACAACATTATATACCAACTTTCCTCGTAATTGCTTTCTAGCCTGTAATTAATTGTGTATTTTGGTTTTTTCTTTTGAAAAAAAACTTAAAAATGTCACAGGTCCATTTGAGCCTTACATATTTTTATGTGTATAAAAAATAAAATTATCTTCTAAACATATAAAAATGTATAAGATTTTTTTTTTCTTTTTTCTTTATATGATATATATATAAAATAATTTTATTCCAAAATATCAAACCCTTATATATAAAATATAATATTAAAAAAAGAATTTTGATGTCCGGACATGTACGTCAGGTTATGCAGTCCATGTCAGTGTGGGCCTTCATGATTAAGATGGTCTAGGAATAGGATCTATAAAATGTTGGGGTAATATTTTAAATTTTTATAAACTAAGATAGTTTGATTTTAAAATGTGGTCATGCTACTTATATGGCATAAAATTGTCACATTGTATTGGCTTATCTTTCAGGAATAAAGTGAAGAGAGTTATCAATGAAAGTTCTTACACTAACTTTATTTGCCCATCACCCGTCACCCCTAAAAGATATGGCAAAATTATTAAATAAAATGTCAAACACTTTTTCTCTGTGTAAATATACTTTTAGATCTTTATTTCCACTATCTCAATTGTTATTTTTTTTTTAAAGAATGTAAACTGAATGGAAGAAGTTTTACAGGTTACTTTTGGTTAAAACAAAACAAAACATAGTGGGGATAGATGGAGACACTTATGCCATTTAACAAATTCATCAAAACAAATAATGTCGTAGCATCAATACGTTTTAGCTCTTTGTGGTTGGTGAATGTTGAATGTTATAGTTGCTTTTGGGTTGAATTTGTACTTTACAATTAATGTGGATTATTATCATTATAGCCAATATTTTAATGATGAAAATGCGTGATTGGATGATGACACTAACATTTTGTTTCAATGTCAACAAACTATAAAAGATATGGACGAACTGGAATATATAAGGCATTGATGTTTGGAAATCCAAGTGTAATTGTGACAACACCTGAAGCATGCAGAAAAGTTTTGACAGATGATGATAAATTCACAACTGGTTGGCCTCGTTCTACCATAGAGCTAATTGGAAAGAACTCATTCATTGGAATGCCTTATGAAGAACACAAACGCCTTAGGCGTTTGACATCATCTTCAATCAATGGCATGGAAGCACTGTCTTTGTACTTGAGATATATTGAAGAAAATGTGACAAGTTCATTGGAGAAATGGTCCAACATGGGACAAATTGAGTTTTTAACTGAGATACGGAAGCTTACTTTTAAAATCATTATGCATATATTTCTCAGCTCAGAAAGTGAACCTGTTATGGAGGCTTTGGAAAGAGAATACACAACACTTAATCATGGAGTTAGAGCCATGAAAATTAATATTCCCGGATTTGCTTACCATAAAGCATTGAAGGTAACTTTCTCAACATGGTAGAAAGTTTTATTATTAGTCTTTATTTGCTTCTCATTTGAATGAACTGCAGTGTGGTGTTTTTCTTTCTCACAGCACTAACTATAAAATATTAAGTGGTCAATGGTAAAGCTATTTGTCACTACTTACCCTTCACTTGTTTGGTTGTGACCTCATGATTTGTAGTTTATGCAGTGTTGAAACCATTTTAGTCACAACATCTAATCTAATCAGTTTCTTCCTATAAGGCTCAAATCATGTGTTTAGTTCATTTCTGACATCTTAGGTGTTATGGGATAGTTATTTGCTATAAACGGTGAAATGCTGCAGATATTTCAATATCTTCATAACACAATCCAGCTGAAATTAGAGCATATGTTAATGAAGCTAATAATTTGAAACTGAGCTACATCTAAATGTAACTTTACCTTTTCAGACAAGGTCTTCAGCTCAGTCTTGGAAAGAAGTACGAGATAATCTTTTTCTTTATTTTTTCATTCATCAAGCATACTCGAGGATAGTTATATCATTAATGACATTGTCATATTATTATGTATGTTCTTCAAAGTTCTGTGAGGCTCATTATAACAGGAAGGAACAGAATAAAGCCTATGAAAATCTTCTAGTTATTTAGGTACAACATCTTATCATTTTGTGTTTTTATTTCAGGCTAGGAAAAATCTAGTGGCCATATTTCAATCTATTGTGGATGAGAGAAGAAACCTAAGGGAGCGATATTTTCCAAGTAAAAGCAAGGATATGATGGATGCTCTGATAGATGTTGTAGATGATAATGGAAGAAAGTTGACAGATGAGTATATCATTGATATCATGTTGATGTACTTGAATGCGGGTCATGAGTCTTCAGGACATATTACAATGTGGGCGACTTTTTTCCTCCAACAGCACCCAGAATATCTCCACAAGGCTAAGGTTTCAAATTATTTAATCATCATATCGCATCTAAATTTACAATTACTAATGACAATTAACAACTGGGAAATAGCATCTTTGCAAAAATGTAAGGGTAAGGCTGCATACCATCGACCCTCATTCCTACTTATAAGTCGGGAAGTCTTATATACTGGAGTTTGCACTTTGCCCTTTAATTTCAACCTTTACTTCCTAATATTGTTTATTCCTTGAATAGGCAGAACAAGAAGAAATAATAAAGAAAAGGCCTCCAACACAGAAAGGGTTGACACTTAGTGAAGTTCGGCAAATGGATTTTCTTTATAAGGTAAATATGTGGTGATCTCATGTTGATATTAACTTATATCAACTATGGTTATATCTGTTTTCATTTTTCTACATTCTATAGGTGATTGATGAAACAATGCGTGTGATTACATTCTCACTGGTGGTCTTTCGGGAGGCAAAAATAGATGTCAATATCAATGGTTAGTCCATGTTCTGCTTATTTATTTCTTCTGTCAATATCAGAATATTCAATTTACAAGATTGCTTTAAGACTTGCATGCATCTTTTGAAATTAGTTTTCTGTAGGGTACAAATGATGGCTAGTATGATTGTTGTTCATTACATAAATGTTTTGGGAACATCACAATGTGGCATGAAATAGATGTGAAAAAGCAGCATGAAGTATTATCTTTTATTCATATTACCAAAGTACTAACTGCATATGGGTGACACAGGTTACACTGTTCCAAAAGGTTGGAAAATTCTTGTTTGGTTCAGGTCGGTTCACCTTGATCCTGAAATATATCCTAATCCAAAGGAATTTAATCCTAATAGATGGAATGTAAGTTGCAAAGATTTGTTTTTAACTAATTTGGATTGAATGAATAGATTATTCCATGTATTGTGCACTTGTATATGTTCTTTATGACTTAAACTTTCAATTTGGTGATGCAAATAGAAAGAACACAAGGCAGGAGAATTCCTTCCCTTTGGAGCAGGAAGTAGATTGTGTCCCGGGAACGATCTTGCCAAGATGGAAATAGCAGTTTTTCTTCATCATTTTCTTCTGAATTACAAGTGAGTAACCTTAAACCTTTTCTCCCATTTTATACATCTCTTCCATTTTTTAAGTCCTAATCACAGGGAGTCTACCTGTCAATATATGGTATTGGTTTTAAGATGTAAAATGTCCATTGAGTTGAATTGGTTCTTTATAGTTATTCACTAAAATAAAATAAAAAAGAAACGAATTTATTGGTTCTATCAAGCATTCTATTCACAAAGTTTTACGTTATTTCTTGATGGCACAGGCTTGAGCAGCTTAATCCTAAATGCCCTGTGAGATACTTACCGCACACAAGGCCTACGGACAATTGCTTGGGAAGAGTCAAGAAATGTTCATCTACATCAACGTAAGATGGAGGAGAAAGCACATGAATATGAAAATCCATCTGAATGTTTGCTCTCAGATGAATCCGCAAGCCTAAATCTACTGAGCAACGTTATCGTAGTAAAGAAAAAAAAAAGTTTAGGAAAAAAAGAAACAAGTAGTTGCTAAGTCATGTATCTAAACCAATTGTTCTGAAAAATGAACAAAGGTAACCTCTGTTTCCTTAGCTACTGTTCAAGGAAAATAATCTAGTTTCCGTTTCATCTGCTTTAAATGATTTACTCATGTTTGCGTGTATAATAACTCAAGACGAACGTTTAGACATAACATTAACCAGTTATCCGTACACTGACAATAAAAAAAGAGGAACTATGCTTTATGGTTTCGAAACAAACTGAGGCCCAACGTTAGATAAAGTGCATAATCAGTTATAATAGTTAAGGCCCAACCACAGGACACAAAAAATTAAAACTAGAATTGGGAGGGGCCGCGCGAACGCAGGCCCCCACTACCACAAATTATGACGTAGGCTCCACCACTTGGGTAGACCTTAGAGAAGCACCCCTCCTAAGTGCAATGGAGGTCACATCCCTAGGCCATGGGCCTTCTTGATCACCCATTGACCCCGTCCAGGTAAGTATGTTGCTCCTTATCAGACCCTTTTATTTTATAGCCTGCACTCCTTACTGCTTCACCTAACCTTCTCGATGTGGTATCTTTTGGCACTCCTTCCTAATTATTATGGGTCTCTCTTCATCTACAATAGCATTAAGATCCTCTGTTTTGGTTCACAAAAAACAAGAAATAATGAGAAAAATACCAACCTTAATCAGCTAGACTTGACTCTGGCGTGCATTTTCACTTAAATTCATAAGCTACTCGAATTGAAAGATCTGATATTAACCCTCATATTAAGTTGCAAAACCAATACAACAAGTATGCTGAGTAGTCGTTGAAATTCATTCATTGAAGATCGACGACATAGAAGTGCAAGCTGGATGTGATAGTTACAACTTGCAACTAATAATTAGCTCCGTTATAATTATATGAGGCTGTTGAGGCTAATAGCATGTCGACTTAATAATCTGATCATCACAGAGCCCAGATATTAGTATATATACAACAAAAAGTTTCTGACACCAAAAGCCATGAAGGTTTCTTAAACAGTGCAATACAATCATTTACAAAATTAGAACTGAAACTAAAATATTGTTCCTACATTGACTTCAATTTAAGAAATTAATAGTTAGAAAAGCAAAATAAACGAGCCTTGCATGTCCAATACACAATGATCAATCAATCATCAAGAGCGATAGAGGTTCAAAATTCAACATCTTGTTGCGAAACTTTCCCTGCAAAAACAAGAAAAACATCTCATTACATATCAAATCATAATATAGTAAGTAATAACGAGAAAAACATCTCATTACATACCACTGAGGAGAAGAAAGAAAAAAAAAATGTTGATCTCACAAGAAATATATTTGACAGTAATTTTATTTTTTTAATTGCTATTTTAAATTATTTGTTAAATTATTTATTATTTATTTTGTTTTTTGTTTTTCGTTCCAAACACCTAGGGGTGTGCAAAATAACTAAAAAAATGAACCGAACCGCCCTTAAAATAACCGATTTTGAAAATAAGTTCATGAACCGAACCGGTTTTTAAAGAAACAGTTCATGAACCGAATCGGTTTTTAGAACTAGTTTAAAAACCGAACCATTTTGAACCGAACCGAAGCGTTTTCAAACCGAACCAAATTGATTTTTGTAACTTTATTTTTTAAATTTTTAATTTTTCTTTTCTTTTCAAAAGAGGGTCAACCCAAATCGGTTCCGAACCGAACCACTTTCAAAAGAGGGTCAACTCTATCTTGTCCCCCAAACGAGCCCAAATATAAATTATTAAATATGAGGAATCATAACCATACAAAGATGGAAACAAATATAACCGTTAGATAATTATAATTGATCTAACGGTGAAATTGATTGGTAATAACACTAATTAGTTGTTACAATATCTTTCTCCTTTATGTATTGGTAAAAATGTATGTCATTTTAAAATAGGGGTAGGATATTGTAACAACCATTTAGTGTTACTACCAATCAATTTCACCGCTAAATCGATTATGTCGATCCATAATTATATAAAGGTGAAAATAAATATAAAATATTAAATATGAAAAATCATAACCATACATAGATGGAATAAATATAACCGTTGGATCCACATAATCGATCTAACGGTGAAATTGACTGGTAATAACATTGGTAGTAACACTAATTGGTTGTTACAATATCCTTCCCTTTAAAATATGGTCATTTTAGCTAAAACTAGTATTTTTATTTAAAATTTAAATTAAAAAAACACTCACTTTCTTTTCCCCTTATTTTCATTGTGTATCTCTTTCTCTCATTTATAAGGACACAATCTTATATCCTTTAAAAGGATAAATTAAATTTAAGCGATTCTACCAATGTTACTGACTCACTGGTTGAACCAATAACTCATCAACCCAATACTCTGACTGAGTCGATAATTGGTTTGGATTTAATAATATTGACTATCATATCTTTCTCTCTCTTTTTTTACCGAAAATCTCTTTTTAAGTACAAAAATAAAAATTTTGTTCCTTTCAAAAACAGGATAATCCTAAAAGGCTTATGCTTAAAAAGATTCCGGAATTCATTAGATTACTTACCAAAAAGGTTTTTTCATTCCTAAATTTTCTTCTTACGTCAAACAGAATTTTCCTTAATTCTTTAACCTACTTGAAATAAAAATTCTTTAGATAATTTTTTTTATATTAAGTAAAAATAAAATAAAATTTCTTTTGTTCCTTAGCTTACTTATCAGGAAGCTTATTTCACTCATTAATTACCTTCTTATCATTCAGAGGAATTCTTTAATTTGTACCTTAATTGCTACTTTTATTTTAAAAAATGTAATTCCTTATTTAATTTTTTAAAAGAAAATTCTTTTAATTCCTTACCCCTACTTTTAAAAGTTCTTTCATGTATAAATGTTTTTAGACTGGGCCGTTTGGTTTGCGGATTTTATTTAGTAATGTGGGAAAGCAAAGTTTGGAAAGGAAGTATGTCACGTTTGGTACTCAAAAAAGCAGAAGCTTTTCTGGTTAAAATATTGCCCGTTTTTCTCTTTTGTTTGTAAAGTTTCGTACGGCTTAGGAATGGTGATGTCCATTGAATATGTGGAATAAAAATTTGCCTGAGGATGTGAAAATAGAACCGCGAAAGAAAGGACCAATATAACCTTGTGATTGTACGTTTTCATTAGGGGAAATATAAGAATCATGTTGCAGGAATGACATTGTTCATCCTGCAACAAGGATCCGGCAACGTATCTTGAGGATACGGCGCCGTATCCTGATTTTGATTTGACATTTTTTTTAAGCGTGGGACCCACACTTGATTTGTGTGTGCAGGAAAATGGTCTTGTTATGTGACATGACAAAAAACGAACCCTTTCATCAGAAATGGAGTTATGGTGAAGTGACTTGGTAGCATATCAGAAATGGAGTTATGGTGGGATTATTTTGGTAAAATAACCTCACATTCCCACTAATATTTCATAATCAACCAAACGCAAACTACTCAGTAAAATTAACTTAATTTTTTCAGAAAAATATGGGTCTACCAAACAGTTTTTTAGTAAAATTCCAGTAAAATATATTTTCAAATACATTTCGATAATAATTATTTTTCGAATTTGTACCAAACGCCCCCTAACTTACCAAAAAATTCTTTAGAGGGAAGGATTAACTTACAACAATGTATAAATAAAATTTTTATATCAATCTTGCTTGTATCTAATGACACACCTAATTAATAAAATAATGTAGTTAGATGTATTTGAGATCAATAACTAAAATTGAGCGTAAAATTTGTTATTCGATATGAGTATATTTTTCATTTTCTTTAGATTTAAAATTTTGTATTAGTCTTGTCTTACCTCCAATTTAATATACTATCTCTTACGATGTTGCTCTAAGATTGTACTCGGGAGAGCAAAAATTTGGGGCGTGATTGAGTGGAAATACCACTTTAGTTTAAAAAACATTATTTTATCAAAAAATATTTCCCTAACTCCTTAGTTTACCTACCACAAAATTAATTCATTGAATTTCGTGCAAAAAGAAGTTTATTTACTCCTTAGCATATTTACCATAAAAATCATTCGATTTCCCAATATTTTTATTAAAAATTTTCTTTAATTCCTTAGCCCACTTACCATAAATGTTCTTTAGTTCCTAAATTTTATTCTTACCAAAAAAATCATTCCATAAATATACAACAAAACAAAATTTGGACTCTACACTAAATTTTTTCACAATTCATTACTTTCCCTTTTCTCCTCCTCTTCATTCCTTTTATGGTCTCCTTTTTTTTTGTTTTTTTTTTGCCTAAATTAAATTTTGCATATAAATACAAAGAAAGAGACTAAGTAGTTGTCCAAGTCGAGGAGAAGTGAATTGTGGTGTGTGTGTAGTCATGACTATAGAGGTGGGTTCCATGTGGATGGTTTTTGCTGCCATTGTTGGTGCTCTATTGGTCCTAAGATCACTCCTCAAAAATGTAAATCGGTGGCTCTATGAATCCAAATTGGGTGTGAAGCAGTACTCTCTGCCCCCAGGTGACATGGGTTGGCCCATAATTGGGAACATGTGGTCCTTCCTTAGAGCTTTCAAGACCAATGATCCTGATTCCTTCATGTCCTCCTTTGTCTCTAGGTAATCATCACCATCCTCTTTAGTCTTTATCACAAACACAAATTTTTTCTTCTATGATGTGGCGTAGAAAGCCACCATAATCGCTTTGGATTGAGAGATTATTTCTCATAGTATTGAATATTTATTACGTTTGCTACATGAACAAATATTAAGAGCATTGTATTACGGTCAACACTGATATATATATTTTTTATTTAGAGGACATATCCGTCATGTGGAGTCCTCATTATGGGCCTCCGTGATTAGGACGGTCCAGTCCAACACTTATAACATAGTTGCCGTAGTTTTAAAGATTTTTTAATAAAAAAATTAGAATATATTAAAGGGTTTATCATTTCTCTTGCCACAGGAGATAAATTTATCTCCAAAATTATGTAGTTTTGAAGGTTGAAGAAATTAATAAAGGGTATTTAAGTAAAATTTATAAAATAAATAAACAAGAATTGTTTTTGAAAATATCCTTTATTAATTCTCTTATCCCCAAAATGATATAGTTTTGAAGTTGCTGGAGATAACTTTATCTTTCGTGGCAAGAGAAATATTTTTTCCTATATTAAATGATGATTTATTTAGTTATGGTTAAAGGTGTAAATGATTTGAGTGAGGCTAGGCTTCGGTTTAATATGATCAGGCCTAGATAAAATATTTTAAGTTTAACCTAGCCTATTAACTTCATGTAACCTAAATTATAGATATGACTTGTGTTTGTTAGCCTATTTAAGCTTAGCAAAACACCTATCAAGAATTAGAATAAAAATATAAAATAAGTAATAATATTTTATTTTAATTAAAATAAATAATATAATATAAGCCGATATACAATATTATAGGGCATAACTTGTTAAAGTGGGTATATGATGTGTTTTCTAAACTATTTTTTTTAAAACTTGAGTTGGTTTGTTTTACGAAATATCTTAAGTCCAGTTTGACCCAATATAAACCGAGTCTTAAGCACATGATAAATCGTATCACTTATTTAAAAAACACACACACACACACAAAAATAAGACTTATGACGGGTTAAGAGGGAACAAATGGGTTGATCTGAGTTTTTGTTGTTGTTTATATCTAGTCAACTGATTAATTGTGTTGTGAAGTTTCACTAATGATCATTCCACGAATGAAGAAACACTACGGTTTTAATTAACACAATCAACATTGCAGGTTTGGACGTACTGGCATATATAAGGTCTTGATGTTTGGAAATCCAAGTGTAGTTGTGACAACACCTGAAGCATGCAAAAGAGTTTTAACAGATGATGATAAGTTCACACTTGGTTGGCCTCGTTCCACAGTAGAACTCATTGGAGAGAAGTCATTCATTGCAATGCCTTATGAAGAACATAGACGCCTTAGGCGTTTAACTTCTTCTTCAATCAATGGCTATGAAGCACTCTCTGTGTACTTGAAATATATTGAAGAAATTGTCATTACTTCATTGGAGAAATGGACCACCATGGGAAAAATTGAGTTCTTAACTCAGATGCGTAAGCTTACTTTTAAAATCATTATACATATTTTCCTTGGCTCAGAAAGTGAACCTATTATGGAAGCTTTGGAGAAAGAATACACAACACTTAATCATGGAGTGAGAGCCATGCGAGTTAATCTACCTGGATTTGCATTCCACAAAGCATTGAAGGTAACTTTCAATCATCATTATCTCACTCTTTGTATTTAAAATAGCATACTTAATCATAGTTATAACATTATTCACATTCTCATATTCTTGAGTATGTTGTTCAAATGAAACAGAAATGAATATAATACTGCCATTCTTTGAGTGCAATATCTTATGGTTTAAGTATGTAATTTCAGGCTAGGAAAAATCTAGTGGCTATATTTCAATCTATTGTGAATAGCAGAAGAAACGAAAGGAAGGAAAATTTACCCACCAAAAAAGCAAAAGATATGATGGATGCTCTGATAGATGTTGAGGATGAAAATGGAAGAAAATTGGGTGATGAGGATATCATTGATATCATGTTGATGTACTTGAATGCGGGTCATGAATCTTCAGGACATATTACTATGTGGACAACCTATTTCCTGCAAAAGCATCCAGAATATCTCAAAAAGGCTAAGGTATCAATTATCAAGTTACTTAAAATCATCATTAGTCCATCTAAATTTGCAATTGCTAATGGACAATATACATGTTCATTTATAACTTCACCTTGAATATGTCTCCATGTACTACTACTACCCCTTCAACCCAAAATTTCAAATTTACTTCCTAACATTGTTTATTCCTCGAATAGGAAGAACAAGAAGAAATAGTAAAGAGAAGACCTCCAACACAAAAAGGGTTGAAACTCGAGGAAGTTAGACAGATGGATTTTCTTTCCAAGGTAGGTATTGTTGATTAAAGGGTTTACTTTCAAGTTCAACTAACAATTGATAATCTTGTGATTATATCCATTTTGATTTGTTTACATTGCATAGGTGATTGATGAAACAATGCGTCTGATTACATTCTCACTAGTGGTCTTTCGGGAGGCAAAATCTGATGTCAATATTAATGGTTAGTCCATATTCAGCTATTTATTTCTTCCATCAAAATTGGAATCATATACTTATAAGTTGCATGAAGACTTCATTACATATCTCTTCTCACTTTGGCCTTCATTGGTAGTTGTGAAGATATAAGTGGATGGATCTATCATGGTCCCTTCTCTATTCCTTCAAAGTTCAAACTTAGTTTTGGCAACATGTTTTTGTGTTGTGCTGTGTGTGTATAATGATGGCTCAAATGATTGCTCTTTCATTGCATATATACTATGTTAAAACTTCTGGAACACTTCATTTAAAGTTTTAACACCAATATGTGGCATGAAGTAGATGTAAAGATGCATCATAAACTATAATCTTTTATTATAGCACTAAATTCTAACTGCATTTTTATGTCACAGGTTACATCATTCCAAAAGGTTGGAAAGTTCTGGTCTGGTTCAGGTCGGTTCATCTTGATCCTGAAATATATCCTAATCCAACGGAGTTTAATCCTTACAGATGGAATGTAAGTTGCAAGACTTAATTTTAACACATTTGAATTGAACAAATAGTGATTCCATGTATTTTGTGTTGGGATTTTAAAGCACAAGGCACACACCACATTAAAATCTATGGTGAAAGCCATCACTTAATGCCAAGATTTATCATATAAAATCATTCATGTCAAATAATCAAGAAAATATTTGCGTGCTTTATAATCTCAACATTTTGCACTCAAATAGGAGCTTTATGATCTAATTTGGCAATTTGGTTGATGTTCATTCATAGAATATACACAAGGCTGGAGAATTTCTTCCATTTGGAGCAGGAACTAGATTGTGTCCTGGGAATGATCTTGCCAAGCTGGAAATCTCAGTTTTCCTTCATCATTTTCTCCTGAACTATGAGTAAACATTTTCTCTCCTTTAAGCCTGTTACATCTTTTACTTTCCACACAAAATATCATTGAACCCAAGCCTACATCCTTTGTTATGATAAATGTTGCTGTACATAGTATTGAAGTCCCAGTTTGTCTCTTTGTATTCTTCAATTGGTTTGCTATATAATAGCACCAATGTTGTGTAGTATAGAAGTCCCACATTGAGTGTGTCTCTTTGTATTCTTCAATTAGTTTGCTATATAATAGCACCAATGTTGTGTAGTATAGAAGTCTCACATTGAGTGTGTCTCTTTATATTAAACTACACAACATTGGTGCTATTATATAGCAAACTAATTGAAGAATACAAAGAGACACACTCAATGTGAGACTTCTATACTATGTACAGCAACGCTCCCCCTCAAGCTGGAGCATATAGATCGTATGCACCAAGCTTGAGGGGAAGTGTTGCTGTACATAGTATAGAAGTCCCACATTGAGTGTGTCTCTTTGTATTCTTCAATTGGTTTGCTATATAATAGCACCAATGTTGTGTAGTTTAATATAACAAGGATTACAATGAATACCTCTTGTCTCTTGGTGATTAACAATAAATATCAACTTTTAAATTGTGGACACTTAATTTTTAATTGATTTACCTCTCTAATGAGTTATAAAAATGGTGATTGTGTATTTCTAATAAAATTCTCATAAAAGTCCTTATTGATAAACAGCACTACTAAAGCACATTCAAAAGAAAGCTAATTTATTGGTTCTAACAAACAAGCATTGTATTAACAAACTTTCATGTTATGACTTGCTGACACAGGCTTGAACAGCTTAATCCAAAATGTCCTGTGAGATTCTTACCGCATACAAGGCCCGAGGACAATTGCTTGGCAAGGATCAAGAAATGTTCATCTGCTTGATCCCAAGATGGAAAAAGAGAATATGACTATGGCTCTTCTTAATATCAAAACCTATCTTAATGTTTTCCCTTAAATAAGACCCCAGAAGTCCATATAGAAAGTGAATGTGATAGAAAATTACAAAAGTTCCATGTATCAAACTTTAATCACTGGCTAATGTCTAGTGAGTTATCTATCTGGGTGAATAAATTGAGGATTCAGCAAAATTAATTTTTGTTTCATCTATTAATGTTTAGAAATCTTCGCACAAACAATTGATATTGTTCCACATGAAGATACGGCTAACAAAAAAACTAGATAGGAGACCACATGATATAAATCAAAAGACACACCAATTCAAACGATATTCAAAGGTTCAAGTACTAACAATAACGAAAGTCCTACGAACTATACTGATAGAGTGATAGGATTTCCCTCATGAACAGAACTACATACACAAGTATCTAAAATAAATTTTCAACATAATTTAATTGGATAGCATGTCATCTTGCTTTCACGAATGGACATAATGTTCTTTTTCTGACCATCTTCACATATTTACCTCTCAAAAACTTTATACTTAACATTTCAAACAATTTGTCACATTTGCCTACCGAGACATCTTAATAGAATATATTAACATCCCTATAGTATTGATATCACATCTGAAAATGTCCCAACTGATTACAAAAAGTAATGTCCTTATTAAATTACCTTTTGTTTATTACTATTTTATTCTAGCACTGATTTTTAGCTTGTTTCTTAATAGCTGTTCATTGGATTTCCTCATAATTTGTTCTACATTGTCCCCTTTTTTTAAAATAAAATAAAATGGTAACAGGAATAAGTATCCGATCAGGACACCAATAACATGCTTGAAATCCTAAAAGGTAGGTATTAGAGGCTCACCCAGAATGAAACTCACTCAAAGGATAACGTTGTCACCTCACCTGTAGCACTAGGGCACCAAGGAATCTCCTTAGGACAAGGATGATCATCAAACAAGATTACTAATCAAGGGTAAACCCTCATCCTAACCTCTTGAAACAGTTGAGTCCATTTAGCTGCTAAAGCAATGTTATTCCCCCTTTGTATCTGTTATCTAGTTCAATCCATTGTAACGCCAATCTCCATACCTATTAGCGCTTCCTTTTCATCATTCAGTACTTTCCTAGTGTCCATATTTCCTGCCACACTCCCCATATATATAGTAACATGGCATGCAATGAATTATTAAAAGTTCATATTTGATTCCTACATGCCATATTTGAGAGGGATTTAAATATTTTCATCCATGACCTGTCCTACACTCCGGATTAGTTTCATAGCCGATTCAAGGAGTCGAAGCTTGTGGGATACCAGAGAATCAACTCACTTCAAAGAGTTAATTAAGGTTGGGTTAACTCTTAAAAAAAAATCATATTTGATTCCATATTTTGCGGATTCAGCAAGAGATATTCTACCTGAAGAACTAAACCCAACAAGATTTTGAGCTCACATCCTAGGATTGGATCCTTTCAGCCGCAACAAGTATTTAGTTAGGCAAAAGTTATACTTGATTAAAGTTATGAATAAAACACTTCTTAGGCTGTGTTATAAGAATTCTTATCCTAGGCACTCCACTCCAATTTTATTTTTATTTTTTACATAATTAAAATGTTTATTTTTATGTCCTTAATAATGATCCACATTTAATTTCCCAAAAGATTAATTTCTTTCTGACCGAATAATAATAGTTTTACTTCCGTGGAGTAATAGGTTCGTTTATTTAAGTTTTTCTTTAAAACAAATTTTTAATTAAAAACATGGCTAAATAATTTTATGATAACTGGATTTTTTTTAAAGTAAAAACATAAAATAATTTTGTTGCTTTTTAAAGTAAAAATAACTTCTCGATATTTAAGTGTATTGTAAATTTTCCAAATGGACCCTGCACTGCAAGTATCACTTCAGTGTGCTTTAAACAGTAAGCTATACAAATATGCATGATAAATTCTTCAACAATGATAGCTTTCTTGAGTATTGCCAAATAACCAACTACTTCTGGTTAGGGACGGCAAAGTGGGCAGCCGCCCCCGTCCTGTCCTACTCCGCTATCAATCCGTCAAAAAATGAGTTAGCCTGCTCCATTTCGTTTGGCGGGTTGGCCGGCCAGCCCGAGCCTATTTTACACTTATCCGCTTCGTCCCGCCTATATCCGCCATCAATCCGCCAAAATTTTACACTATACTCGCCCCGCTTTTCAGATGGGTTGAAAAACTCAGCTCGCCCCACCCCGTTTAGCGGGTGGGGCGGATTGGCACGCCGAGCCGAGCTCGTTTTGCCATCTCTGCTTCTGGTAACTTAAAAGTACAGCAATCAGAAAAGTGTATTTACTACTCTTAAATCATAACATTTATCATTGCATTCATTGTAGGAACAAACATAAGAAAATACCTTTTTTTTTCTTAAAACAAAATACAAGTAATAAATAATAGATAGAAATGAGCCATTAGGGTATGCATGATAATCATTTTGTTCCGACATTATTTTTGAAAAGTAACATTTCTTTTCTATTTCTGTGCCTTAGAACAATTTTTGAAAAAAAAAAAATGTGTTTGATAACATGTTCTATTTTTATTCCGAAAATGAGAATTGTGTTTGATAACACAACAAATAATATAATAAAAAATTGTTCCTATTAAGCATAAAAAAAATTTGGATCATCATTTTTCTTTCCATATGGTGTGATGATGGTGGTGGCGGCGGTGGTGGTGTAGTGGTGGTAATGGTAGTAGTGACGATAATGGCTGCGACAATGATGGTGGAGGTTGGTGGTGGTGGCGTGGTGATGGTAGTGGTAGGGGTGGTGGTGGTGACGGCAGTGGCTATGGCGATGGTGGCAGTGGTGGCGTGGTGATGGCAGTAGTGGTGTGATGGCGATGGTGGCGTCGTGGTGATGATGGTGGTGGCAGCGACGGTGACTGCGATGGTGGTGGTGGTGGTGGCGGTCTACGTTGCACGGACACGGACATGCGACACGACACGATACGACACTCCGATACGTTAATGTTAAAAAATATTAGATTTCGACACGTTAGGACACGTTTTAATATTAAATAATAATAATAAATCATATAATCAATCAAATATTTAAATTTTATAACATAAATATAAATAAAAAATAATAGTTCATTGAAACTATTCATTTCAAATAAAAATCTGAAATTTTATTTTGAAATTTTTGTTGTCGAAGCCTTACAAATTTTAATTAGAACTATTAAAAAGTAAAAATTTATTTCTTTATTTATTTTAAACAAGTACTTGTGTCAGTGTGTTTCCATCAGACTTCAGTGGCATTTAACGTGACATTGACTATTCAATTTAATTTGAAACGACGTGTCAGAAGCAATTTAATGTTTTGCTTCTCTTTTCTTCAAATCTCTTAAATATCCACAACAGAAACCAAAACAAATTATGAAGCGTTAGAGAGAGAGAGAGAGAAATTGTTGATCAGAAGCAATGGCGCAATGGCGTCGATGGAGAAGGTGTTATCTTCTTCAACACCGTCTTGCAGAAGGGAAGATCCTCCTCTTCCCAAAACCTTCGACTCACTCTCGTCGCAGAGTTCCTTATACATGCACCATCATCTTCCCCGCTTGCAGTGAACAAGGTCTCACAATCGCGTGTCGGACATCGTAGAAATCGCGTGTCGCAATAATCAACGTGTCCTAAAATATTGATTGCGTGTCGAACGAGTGTCTGAGCGTGTCGGAGTCCGACACGCATTTTTTCTAAAAAATGACGTGTCCATGCTTTATTGGTGGCGGTGACGGTGACATTGTGGTGATTGAAAAATACAAGTGTTTATCATTTTGTCTCCGAAAATAAAAGAACAGATTTTTTTTATTCTTTTTACTGTTCCTCGATACAAAAATTAAATCGGTTAATCTTGAAAAAAAAATCAATTTTATCAAATGAAATTTTTATCCATTTCTATTCCCGAGAACAAAAGTTTTTTAAAACAAAAATCAAATTCCAAAAAGATTATCATGCACAGCCTTAAGCATCCAGGTTATATTCTATCATTTGCTAATTACATGGCAACTTTTATCTCAATCTAAAAGACTAGACAGAATCTTTCAGTTGGGAAAGGAGTGCTGGGTTTAGACTTTAGACACTGATGTGCATATGTCAAGCACTCATCCAACATTTCATCGCGTTCAATGGCAAATAACTTCACGGTCCAAATTTCAATAACTTTTCCGCGTAAATCTGAGGCAAAACTCTTAATCTCATATTGACATTAACAAATAAAATTGTAAAAAAATTCTTTAACCCGTACTATTAACACCACTACGGGTGTGTCAGAAATCATTTTAAGGTGGGGGACCCTATTGGTATCAACAGTGGCGATCCTAAAAATTTTGATTTATGTCCACATTCATAATGACGAGGGTACTGTCCCCGGAAAATTTTTGGAACCATAATTTTGTTTTTTTAGCACTCGTTGAAAATTGTAAGACAAATAAGGCTTAGCAAAATCACGGTCCCAAGTGATTTATGGTTGTAGCTTTTAGACAAAGCTAAAGTGTGTGTCAAGATCTGTTTCTCATCAATCTTGTGGTCAAGAACTTAAAGCACAAGCTATTTTATGGGTTTAAAAAAGAATGCTTGCCGGGAATGTTGTCTGAGAACTAAAAAATCATATTTTTGAAAATCGAGATTTTCGGATAAAAAAAAATTTCTCCTCTACCAAACACCCCCAAAAGCACCTCTTCTTGAACATGCTTGCAGTTTCCTACATTGGGGTCTAATGCTTCTTCTGGAGATTTGTTGTCTATCTTCTTTCTAATCCACCCTACAATATCTATAGATTCTCCAAACTCTGGATCTAAAGGTCGCTTTCCTGTGACCATGACTGTAAATGTCTATCTTTTCATCCAACTTCAAGGAGTATCCATATTCTACCAAATAATAAAGCAATGAAATGGTTATAAATGAAAATGCTGTATATATAAGAAAGAAGAAACATCTCTTCACAATTCTATCCTAATATACTGATTGGAAGTTATGCTCTTTGAGCTTTTAACTAACCTACTTTCTCTCAAGTATTATGAAAACCAAAGTAGTCATTCACCTGCAAAGTTATGAACTAGAAACTCACCAGGGTCAATGTATCCGTAGGGTCCAGCAATCATGGAGACTGTTTCTTTCATTCTTCCTGATCATCATCTTGGCTAAACCAAAATCTGCTATCCTTGCCTCAAGATTTGCATCAAGCAGTATATTATTGGACTTAATGTCTCGATGGATAACTGGTGGATGACAATCATGGTGAAGATGAGAAAGTCCTTGTGCAATTCGTAGAGCTATGTTATACGGGGTATTAGTGATACTGATTAGTTATAGTGTAGGATACACTGTACATGTCACACACCAGATTATTTCTCTCAACTACACCATTTTGGTGAGAGGTGTGAGGGCAGGTAACTCGATGGGCTATTCCACTTATTTGAAGGTACTGAGTAAAGGCTCTAAACTCACCACCCCAGTCAGTTTGTAATGCTTTTAAAGGTAGTTGGAATTGGTTGGTTATCATGGCATGAAACTGTTTGAAGATTGTTATTGCATCTGATTTTTGTTTTAATGGATAAAGCCATGTGTATCGAGTACAAGCATCTACAAATGAGATGTAGTAACTATTACCAAGGGTCGATTTTAGAGGAGAGGGTCCCCATAGATCACTATAGACAAGGATCAACTACATCAATGCTAGATTTAGAGTGTGAAACACTGAAACCAACAGGTTTACTAGAAAGATGGACATACTTGCTTGTAGATGAGGAACTGGAACAATGTTTATTTGCAACTGGAATAGAGCCCTTAGCCAACTTGAGATCTGGAAAACGGTACAAACCATCTGCACCAACAGTACCCTGAAGTAGGATTTTATGTGAATCCTGACATTTCACAAAACAAACATCAGAATGAAACTCAAAGAAAACTGAGTTGTCTTTGGCAAATTTACTAACACTGATGAGATTTTTAGTGATTGAAGGAACTAAAAGCAAGTGTTTAAGATGAAGATTGGTGTTAGTATCAAATGGAGATAAAAAGGAAGAGGAACCGATTGCTGTTATAGGTAAACCTTGTCCATTTCCAATCAGAATATGATCAGTACCACTGAGCTGGTGTCCATGTGAAATATTCTGAGAGGCTCCAGTCACATGGTTTGAGGCACCGGAGTCAGGTAGCCACTCAAGAAGTGGTGCTGAGTTAGAAGAGGACGGTGCTGCCAAGTAAGCATGTGCTTGTGCTTGTGGTCTATTGTACTGGAAGGATCTGACATTCTGTGCTTGAGGTTGTTGATGCACAAAATATTGTGGATAAGAAGAGTTTTGTGGTGGAGGCAGGTTTGGAATGAAGTTCTCTTCAAACCTGTGCCAGCAATCACGTACATCATGACTAAATCGGTAGCATAGTTGGCAGTGGACGTTTGTTCTAGTGCCACGTCCTCTTCCTCGAGTGAATCTCCCTCCAGATCTTCCTCTGCCTCTGTTCTCACCATTGAAGGTGTTAGAATGTCTAGGAGCTGGATGCTCTGTTCGACTCTGTTTTCTGGTTTCAGAAACAGAGTCATCTTCTTTGTCTGTTTCAACTTTCTGAGAGATCTGGTTGCGTTGCGTGAGATTCACTGATGCTCCTTCAGCCAACAGCTGTTCATTCTGCTTGAGTAGGAGTTGCTCATGAGCCATGAGTTCTACTCCAAGATCTGCTACAGAGTATGCTCTGTCTCTGCCGTGTATCATCATTACAAAAGAGTTATATTCAGAGGACAAACCTTCAAGTATAGTCTCAGTATGTTCTTGAACAGATACTGGACTTCCAACCGATTTGAGAGTGTCACAAATCGTTTTGATACGAGCAAGGTATTCTTTGGCTGATTTCGTCCCTTTCTTCATCGTCTTGAGCTCAGATCTGAGTTGTCTGGCTCGTGATCTCATAACTCCATGAAATAGCTTGTGTATGTTCTCCCAAGCTTCGAATGAATGCTTGACTGGAAGAATATCATTCACTACTTGTTCAGAAATTGTTGATAATAACCAGGTCAGAAGCATCTGATCCTGAGTTAACCACTTTGTATACTCAGAAGTGGAGATGTTGCTTTCGCGGTCCTCATCTGACCTGAACTTCAAGGGAATCTTCGGATTCACCAAGAAACGTTGCAACTGGTGTGATGTGATGATCGGTTCGATGATCTGGTTCCAGAAGAGGTAGTTGTTTTCTGTAAGCTTCGCTGAGATGGTGAAATTGAAGAGTGCAGATGGATCTTTGGCTTCCATTGTAGATCTGGAAGTTGATCTCTCTGGTTGCGTTGCGCTGGTGTCGGAGTTGGTAGCGGAAGTCATGATTAAGCTTTGTTAATGGATCAGGCCCTTGGTGAGGGCTTTGATACCATATCAGAGTTCCATCATAGAAGTGACGAGAGAGAAAATAGAGAGAGGAGAGAGGTAGGGAAAGTTCAGAGAGATGAACATTTGTAATTAATATTGAGAAATGAATAGTTGATTAATTTGTACATTACACTGTGCTCTATATATAGGACTAAGGCCAATACATTGATGACTCAGCAAGTCTAACAAACTGAACAAACTTACAGAGAGAAATAATCTGGTGTGTGACATGTACAGTGTATCCTACACTATTAATACGGGGAAACCCAATCTACAAGCAATCTTACTGCTTGTTTACCATGCAAGGCATCTCCGAGGTTTCCATTGTGCATAAAATCATGAACTATCATCACATCAGTGTCATTATAAAGAAAGCCTAGTAGTCTTACAATGCTCCTACACCTTAGCCTCCCTAAAAGATTCACCTCTCCAACAAGGTCATCACTGTTTCCTACTTCAATATCAGATCCAGATCTCCACAATTTTTTTACTGCCACAACTGTACTTGATTGTGGTATCTCAGCCTTATAAACAACCCCAGTTGCACCCATGCCAGTCACATTTGTTTCCTTCAGTACTTGTTAGAGAAAAATAGAGCGCTTTGAATGGAGAAAGCGAGATGTGAGCACGTTTGAAGTGAGAGAACATTGGTAGCGTGAATTGGTGGGTAAATTTTATTTTAAAAAAAAACTTTGTCTGCAAGTGCGGTCCGCCACTGGGTATCAAGATGTGGGATTGCGGAATAGCATGCCAGGGTCAACCCCCAATGTGATCAAGACAGTTGCTTTTCACACAATGAATTTAAGCAATAAATTCCTATTGAATTCATAGAATATTTGTTTTTTTTACTAGAATCTAGAAATGAAATGGCATCTGGTTCCGAGGCACAACAGAACACTTCCAACAATATGAAGAGATTCCTGGTGCAGCCTTGCTTCCACTCAAAAGGATGCAGTAATAGAGTTGTATGTTTTTGAAGAAATTTGAACTAATTCCCATTCATCTAAACATCTACTTTCTACAAATGGTACATAAGACAGAGCGCTAATATGCAATAAATATGGGTACAACAGCGCTCACGAAATTACAAGATTCAAACAATGTTTCTATATACAAGAAGGATATTTCAAGATCGAAAAATTCAGAATAACCTCCTAATAAAAGTAAAACCTGCATAAAGCCACTAGGAAAGCCTCCAATATAATGATGTATGTAAAATATAGACAATGCCAGTAAATGATAAATCTGTATCTGGCTGTCAGAGCTAATCAACGCCACAATTCATCGCTCCTCATGTCCAATTCTTCTAACTTCCATCAAGCATGGATCATCTACACATTTAAATATGAAAAAAAGAATTAAAACACTACATTTATTTGATAGAGATACCAGAGAATCACTAAGAAGCCAAATTATGTCTCCGAAATGATAAATCCCTCCACACAAAAATCACATGACTGATCATTCTAGATGCTTGGTTTTTGTAAAGAACCACTTCAACTCAAAATCTTAAGGGGTTGGGTGAAGGTCGTTTTAATGGTTTATATTATTCTCTAATACACCCCTCACACAGGAGCCCTTTGGCCTTGAAGTGTGGATATTGCACAGACCCAATGTTTTTGGTTTTACCTTGTGCTTATTTTAATTCCACTCGAAAATGGGGGGCGGTGAGGATCGAACTCGTGACATTGTGGTCAAGGAAGCTCTGATACCATGTAAAGAACCACTTCAACTCAAAACCTTAAGGCATTGGGTGAGGTTCTTTTTAATAGTTTATATTATTCTCTAACAGTTTTAAGAAAGAGATCTGCTCCCTGTCCTTATGACCAGATTATATGAAAAAGCAAACAAAATATAAATCACTTTTCCTAAGCATATTTAAACATAAACCTCTCATTATATGTCATTTTGCTCCTAAGTTGCATACAAAAGACGTGTCCTAAAAATGTATTACAGTATGACAAAAGAAGGAAGAAAACTGAATTATACCATCTTTGGAGTGCTTCTCCCTTTCAGTGTTTTCATTGCAGCTTCTGCAAAAGCTTGTGCTGCCTCTGCATCAGCTTCTGCTGCCTCTGCCTCCCTTGCTGCCTCTTCGGCTTCTGCTATGGCGGCTTCTGCTTCAGCAACTGCTCGAGCAGCAACAGCAGCTGCCTCTTGTGCAGTCATGGACCTTATCTTTGCTAATTCTATATCTATCTGAGACTTTGTAAGGATGTTGGTTTCATCCTTGTCAACTTTTAAAGAGGCTTTCTGCCTCCCATCCATTAACAACATGGATGAGTTTCTTCTTCTGTCAGAATATGCTGGAGTAGGTGCAATCCTATACCTGCGTTTTACCTGAAATACCAAACTCAACCTAAAAGTAAGATCTCCAATTGAATAACTAAACGTAACTGGCACAAAATAAGAAGAATAGCATCCAGCATACTTGTCAATCTCACATAAAACGTATATAATACTAAATCAAGACAAACTATGGATTCCTGAAAATTATACTATAAACAATTGTTTTTAATTCATACCAAAACACACAAATTTTGTGCAAGTCTAAGTAAAGAGCAGTCCGTCCACACTGCTGAATGGACAAACTGGGTTTGATAACACTCGATTTATAGGAAAGCCAACTCTTAAGATCCAGGCTGACAAGAGAGCAGAACCTAGTCCACTATAAATGGGAGTTCCATTTATCACGGGCAGCCAACTCGATAAGGAATCTATACTGCACCAGAGACTCTCATCTTGCCTCAATACCTTAAAATAATTCATCAAAAGTGGAAAAAAAAAATGCACTAAAGACAATTTTTGTATGAGAAACATACCTTGATCAGTTTCCCACTTGCTGTCAAAAATTTTAATTTTGCTGACAACAACCTTTTGAAGTCTGGCGGTGCCCAGTATTGGTCCTACAGATTACAAAGCAATGTAATTCAACTGAGTCATACAAAAACAATATAACATATCATGAAATATAAAATAGAGCAGTATCCTACCAAATGGAATACAAAAGAAGATATAATGTTATTCCTTAACAAAAAATTTGGTCAATTGGAAGTTGAAACAGTTTCACATTTTTAAGCATCATTACTATCATATAAAGTATATCCATCTTTACAAGATGCTAAACCATTAAAAAGGGATAAATAAATTTTTTTTAAAAAAACTGAGCCTACTAAGGGATAGAATGGGCCACCACTTCACTAATCATACTGAACTAAAAAGCTTCCAACCACATTAAAATTAGTATAACAATAGTTCTGAATAATCAATATACGACTAGAAGTACCACATGTCATCCTAGGGTGCTCCAACAGCTTTATACCAAACAAGAAACATTCACAAACAATGCCAACCTCATTAAATGGCATCACTGGCATTTAATCAAACATTAACATCTTAAATATAAATTAGAACTTCCAACATTCCAAGAATGAGGGGTTTCCTATTTCATAAGCAGAAAAATGGTTTCAGTTGCAGGTTTTCCCTCATTCCACAACTGACAAGTTCTCCCAAATCCATTTCCCCTAAAAGGAGAACCTCTAATCCTACCCAATCAATTCGCCTTCAGTCTCAATTTAATTGTCAAACTCAAGATTTTACCTAGGATTGGAAGTGGGAGGATAAACAAAAAACGTGAGATTGTTACACAAAAGTAAGATCCTACCCGAAAAACTATACTAAAACACACGTGTACACACACACACACAAACACACACGTGTGTGTGCGTGTGCATACATATATATATATATATATATATATATATATGAGGTAGGATCCTTTGACACCAGTGTCAAATTTCAAATTTGACACCTCATCTGATAGTCATTAGACCAAAAAAGATCAATGGTGTCACATGCTTACAAATCAGAGTCGTTCATATTTTTTGATCTAACGGCTCTCAGATGAGGTGTCAAATTTGAAATTTGACACTGGTATCAAAGGATTCTACTCTATATATATATGTCTCTCTCTGTGTGGGGGTGGGGGGGCGGGGGCGGGGGGGGGGTCAGGATCATTTTACACCGGTATAAGTTACACTCTAAATCTTGATCGTTGATCCATTTAAATTGATTTATTAGATATTTGACCCATTAGATGCAAGCAAATAAATTACCAAGATTTGGTGAAAGACACAATATAACCACAAAACAAATAGGACATTTAATTAAACTCCAATTGAAACACAAGTTCACAATTGAAAATGCATAAACAAAGGCCATGGAGCCCCACTAGCACAAAGCAAACAGAGCCAAAATAGAACAAAAAAGGAAAAATAAATGCAGCAGCTGCACCCAAACGCAACTACAGAGTCAGAGTCATACAGACCATATCCACACCAAGAAATTACAGATCACAACCACATCCAGAAATTACAGACCACACCCAACCATACAAGAGTAACAGCAGATTCATGAAATGTAGATTAACAGTAACAGGTTTGCTAGCAGTATACACCTTCAACTTCTTGGGCTGCTCCGTATCTCTAGGTGTAACAACTTCAAACAAGGGAAGGGACACTAGCAGGTTGTGACACTAAATGAATGTCAATAAAGAAGTTATAGCACTTACAGACGCAGGACCAAACTTTAGCTTGCAACACCCAAAGCAAGTCACAGCAACTAGGTTTCAGGCGGAAGGGAAATAGTGCTTGACCACTCAGAGGTCGCAGGTTTCACACCAACAAAACCCGATAATGGTTGCAGGACTCAAAGGTTTCGTATTAGGGATAATGGCTACCAGATAACGAAATGAGGCTAGGTAATTTGGCATATAATCCATTCCACCAACTGGAAAACAGGGAACAAGTACACATGGTAGGATCTCATGAACCCACCAATTCCATGAACTAGAAATCGATTTAAGCAGCTTGAGTTTAGAGAGGGAGAGAGGACCATTCAGACACCAAAAGATTGTAGAATAGTCCACATGTACAATCCAGATCATGATCCGGAAAAATGTTGCGTGAAAGTATTGAACTTGCACCCTCTTTGTCAGTTGAGATTCCATAGGTCGCCTCATTGGAACTTCTAATCCAATTGGACTGCTAATGTATCTCTCAGCACTCATGTTTTCCTTTTACTTTAGCCTTCCGGCTTGGGAAGTAATATATTCCGTTTTTTAAGAAAGGGCCTTTCTTTTCAGTTAGCCATAAATTTTTTTTTCCAGTTGACCTAAACTAAAAGGCCTTCTTTCCACAAGGCAGATTAGAGGGGGATTTTTAGACAATGTGGAGCTCTAGTAAGAAAACAATGCACAAATTATTTATCAAAAATAAAGAAAAAGACTAGAGTAAGAGAGATATAGGGAAACTATATAGTATCTTGAATTGGTAAATAATGGAACTGCCCAACTAACTCCATAACCATTTGGAACAATTAACCAAGAAATTTTATAGAATTTAGTTTTGTGATTAAGAATAGGTTTTGTCTAGAATTATAAAGTCAGAATACCAGAAGGCTACCAAAGAATTAAAATGAATTAAAAGCAGAAAAAACTTAAGTTAGACTCAAAAGGCAAAGTTATACCTCTATGAAAGCTGCAATAGTTGTTTTATTAGAGCCACCATTCTCCTTCAAGCTACTTATTGCTTCCATTATAAGGTTATCCAATCTGTATAATGTAAACATGGGAAAACATATACTGTCAAAACAGACATAAAACAATTACACCAACAAAATAAAAAAAGGCATAAATAAAATTTCAAAGAAATGAAACCTTTTCACGATGCTAGCAACACAAGAATGAAATCAGGCAAGCTTGCCAGAAATTAAATTAATGACCTTAACAGTTGGTAGTAAATAAGAATTCCCCATTGGAAGACAATTGCAAATAGCAGTACTAAAGTAACACTTTTTCCGCAAACCAGCAAGAATGATATAAAATAAATAAATTACCACATTAAAACAAAATAAAAAGAATCCAACCTTACGATAGACCTTTTTGGACCAGGAATCTGCACCATATCTCTAGAAACTTGAAGAGGCTTAACATCAACAATTTCTTCATCACTTGGAACAACAGAAGTGACAGCCATAGAGTTCTCATCATGTTTTGGGGCCTGATGCACCCTTCTGACTGCTAACCTAGACTTTTCCCTGGAGCTCCATCCATTTGCCATCACACTCAGATTTCTCCACTTATCCTATCAAATGCCCCATATCAGAACCACACAAACAAGTCAATGTGCATAGTAATATAGATGGACCAATGCTAATTCATCACTATATATGTAAAATGAAAAAATGACCTTCACCAAAACACCAACAAGCACAACTACGAAGATAACCAGACCTTAAGATCCACATTCGACCGCAGATATAAGACACTGCTAAACTCTGGATCCTTGAGTATCGTACGCCATTTACCAACCCCGTGCTTGACAACTCCAGCTTTAAGCGCTGCTTCCTCTTCTGCAGTCCACTTCTGCTTAGGAGCACCCATCAGGAGTAGCAAAAGAAATTCTCTCTCGGCTGCAAGCAATAGTACATTACATATCCAAATACAAAATTCACCCCTAAAAATATAATCACAAGTTTTGCAAAGTTGTAAGACATTAGAAACCCTTAGTATTATTTTAAAATATTTCCTATAAATATTGAATTTAAATTTTTTTAACTCAAGATACATACATTTTCAAGAATTATTTAATATTAAATTTCATCTTTAAACTTGTTTTAATTTTTAAGGATAACCTATCATCCAATAATTGCATAAATCACACCCCCTGTGCTGGTCAAATTGTTCAATATACTACTTCCATTCTTAAACTATTGATTCCAGAAACTGGACAGTTCACGGAAAATAAGTAATTATAGTTATAACTTAAGAGCTTTTAACCACATCCAATTCCTCAAACAAGTCCTTCTTCAATTTATTGATCAAAGTGGTGTTTACAAGCAGGTACAAGAAGTTCACACACAGCACAAAAACTGAAAACTCCGTGAAGGAAGCTGAGCGTGATCGTGCACGGAAAACATGCGAACCACTTTCCAATCAAACAACAAACTTCGCAATTCAACATCGACAGAAAATCCAATCAGCACCATTCATCGAAAGAAAAAAAAATGATAACATCTGAGCCAAAACAACTCAATTTTGGATCGTGCTACGAAACCCTAAAAGCATAATTTATGAGGTTGTGGCAATAAAAAAAATAAAAAATAGAGAATGAAACCTTAATTGGAGTTGGAGGAAAAGGAACTGATTGGGATTAAGATTGAGAAGGTGAGAAATTGGATAATTCCGGTTCCCAGATTGGTTTGCATCCCGCGCCAAATGCCCTAACCTGACCAGAGACCCCGCTTGTGGATTCAACAAATATATCACCTCAAACTTTTTTTTAGAAACCAAAATAATAATAATAATAATAATAAAAAATATACTTCCAATCTATTTTCGTTTACAACTTCTTACAATCACGTCTTAAGCATTGATGACTTTCCATCTCACATTTATTTATTAGAAAGCGATTATACTTCCTATTAGGGGTGTTAGTGGGCCGCGCTGAGCCAAACTTTGATCTTAAAAGGCTAAGCTACGTTTAAATGTGTCTGTCTAACCTAACCTATTATCTGTTATGAATATAATTATTGACATGTAGCTTGGCTTATTTACAAAAATAAAAGGCTGGTTTAGCCTGTTTAAAAAAAAAATAAGATAAGAAAAAATTATTCAAACAAAATATATGATCCACAACACTAATAATTTCACAAAGATTTATAAATTCAATATATATCCAAAAAACATAATATATAACAAAACATTTAAAAAAATCTGTTTAACCAATAAAATTGGGTGAAATGAATTGAGGAGAGAGAATGGCTATTATAAATAGTATAAAAAATAAAAAAAAAGTTAGTATACCAGGCCGGCCTGAGAAGCTCTAAGATTGAGTTTTTGAAATGGAGTTTGAGGTTGTTCTGCCTGAAGTAGATACGTCTGACAGAAGGTCGGGTCTTTGATGTTGGATCTAGAGCTTTTTCTCTAGATACCTATGAATTAGGTATCTTGGGGACAGCTGATCACTACACACTATATGATGGCTTTAGCCAGAAAGGGTGTGTGTGTGCACTGTCGTGTCTTCAATCAAATAGGGTTAGAGAGATCAATCATACCTGTGGTCTTTAGTCCTATTTATAGAACTTATCTTTGGGCTGACGTTAGTTGGGCTTCATATTGCTGTGGGCCTTTCTCTGGTCCATAACAAAGGCCTTTTTATTAAATAATTTTTTTTGTATTAATTAAACAAATTTTTATACGAGTTCAATCCTGATTCTAATAACCAATTTTAGACATGTAAGCTCATGCCTTCACGAGCCGAGCCAAAGGCCACTGTTCGTTTAACACCCCTACTTAATACAATTTTAACCTTATTATTCTTACTACCAAATTGCTTGCCTTTATATCAATTTGAAATCAATGATTAAAAAATTAAAAAAATATTAATTGTCATTGATTTCAAATTGATCCAACAGTAATCAATCAAGTAGTAAAGTTAAAATGTTAATAAGTATAATCGTCTCCTATTTAATTATTATAGGGTTTGTTTGGATTGAGTCCAAAATGACATCGTTTTGGAGCAAAAATCATGTATTATTGTAATTATAATTTATTTCAAGATTATAATAGTTTTTATTGTTATAATTTTTTAATCTATCAATCCAAAACGGGGAAGGATATACTTACAACCAAAAAAATTTACCACCTTTACAACTAACTTAATCTCCATTTATTTTCGTCAATCTAATGATTATAATTTATTGAAAATTATTAACCATTAAATTGACGGAAATCAACGGTGATTAGGTTAGTTGTAAATGCGATAATTTTTTTTGTGATAAGTATATCCTGCCCCATCTAAAATAACGTTATTTTGAAAATAAATATAGATAATTAATCTGCATTCCCTGTAGAAACATTAAAGCCTTTATTATATGAGTTCGTTTTTTCTGCAGTTACTGCAGATAAGTTATCTGCAGTAATCCCAATACAATGTCGTTTTGGGACGGAAATCATGTGTATTTGTAATTTTAATTTATTTCAGAGTTATAATAATCTTTATATTTATAATTTTTTAAGATTTCAAAATCAAAACGATGTCGTTTTGGGAATAATTGCAGATAACTTATCTGCATTAACTGCAGAAACATTTTCCCCTTATTATATTACAATTTCCCCAAAATATTCTATTACATTTTTTCTTCTTCATAGTTATAAAACAGAATAAGGAATTATAATCTTAAAATTTAATTTACGAGTCAAATTTCAATAGTTGTATTATTGTAATCAATAAGAAATTAATTAATGAAGGAATTGATGGCAAATATGAAATTAATAGTTGCTATTGTTTATTATTTTTGGGGAAAAAAATCTAAAATCAAAGGATGAAGGAAATGACTATATGACACTTCAAGGATCTAAAATTACTTAAATAAGTGAAGAATTGGATGTATAAAAATCTTGGAGATGGATTTTTAGGTTGATGAAGACATTGTTAATGTTGAAGATATAGGTCAGTTTTCATGTCTTCCCAACCACAAAGGTAAATTTTAGATTTATTGATGAAAGTGGCCTTATTTTTTAAAAGATATCAATGTACCTATTTGAAAATTATTTATCAATTTATTTTATTTTGACTAAAGTTGATCATGTGGGCCTCACTTGAAACTCAAATTTTGCACCGTGATTCACTTTATGACATTAAATTAGAATTTGATATTAAATGTAAATTGACACTAAATTTATTATGTTAAATAATATTTAAATATATAAATATTTTCATTTATTACGCAATCCTATGAAATCTCTAAATATTTAAAAACATCAAAATTATTATTAATGATAATAATTATATTTTCTTTTTTTTTTTTCATAAAAAAATTCAATCTTTATAATAAATAGGAGAAAAAAAGAAAAAAAAAACAATCAAAGTATCATTATTAATAATAAATTTAATAATAAATTTGTAGGGGTTTTAAAATTTTATCATATGAATCATTTATTAATAATAAATTTTATTTTTTAAATTTTTAGATATTTTAAAATATTCTGCCAGACAAATAAAATTTATTACTAATTACAATCTTATTAGCTTAATACAAGCAAAATTATAAGTTTGATCTAACTTATTTAAAAAAAATACAAGGTTGCTTACCCAAAAATAAAATAAAAAAAATAGAAGGTTTGGTCTGATTTTTCAAGTTCAAAGTTTTCAAGATTGAGATTTTACCTAAGATCGAGAGGGGGTAAAAAAATTATAAATTGTGAAATTGACAAGTATTGTAAGATCGGTATTTTTTTTTATTCTTTTTTTTCTCTCATAAACCGTAAGGTCGACACTAAATATAATTTTAATATCATTTATTTATTTTTTTCATAAAAATATATATTTTATAATTAATTAATGATTAATATTTAAGTATAATTCCATTTTATTCAAATATAGAAACGATTTATGTTTTATATTTTAAAGATTTGAAATGTATATTTAAATAAAAATTGTTGTTACACAAAAATATATGTATCATTTTACATCTTATTAATTTGAAAAATAGAAAAAAGAATGTTAATGAAAGATAAGAATTAAAACTGAAATCCAAAGTTTTAGCCCACGCTCCCAACATTTCCCAAACTGCAGAAGTGATCTTCTCATGTCACAAATTCATCAGTATATTTATTTATTTATTTTGTGTGAGTGGGAGAAGACTATTTTGCAATAACAGTAGAGATACAAAGCCCTAAAATGAATGAAAATGGATTCTCTAATATGTCAAAAAAATATGATATGGTTATGTGGGGAGATCACAACCATATAAAGGTAAATCAACGGTTATGATTTCGTAACTATCTGTTTTATCATTTTTTTTCTCTGCTCCTTTTGTATCATTGATCCACCTTTGTATGATTATGATTCCCCACGTTACATGGTCATGTGAATTTTCAAAATACCATTGATCCAGATACCTTAATTTCAGTATTGATAGGGAGGCGCGTCAACAAGAGACATGTATTGTACATTGAGTTTGTTCTCTTCTTTCTTCCATCTAACAAAACGAAGGAATGAAACGATAGAGCAAACGATTTGAATAGTGGGACTTGCAAAAATCGTAAAATAGTTCGATATTACGATTATACACACGTATCTTAATAACAACTCAAAATATTGATATATTTTTTTTTGGTAAGCTGGAAAATATTGATATTTAATTATGTTACTAGAAATAGTCTAAGCCTTCGAAAATTGAAATCAGCCTTCGAAAATAGTCTAAGCCTTCGATAATAGTATATTACACTTTGAAAATTATAGGTTAGGGTAATTTAATTATGTTACTAGAAATAAAAAAAAATAATCAATTGAATCTAATTGTATTAAATTTTATTATAAATTAAATTTTAATTTATATTAAAATAAATTAAAAATTTATACATACATATAGAGCTGTCAAAATGGATCAGCTAAGTTGGGGCTAAAAAATCCGCAAGGTCAAATGAATAAGAAAAATATATACACCAGTGTGAGCATTATTCTCAACTGTTTTGTAGTTTAAAAATTCAAAATTTTGAAGAGAGAAAGAAGACTAAGAAGACAAAGATGAGGAGGTTCTACAGACAGAGAAAGAAGGTTATTAAAAAACCTCCTAAATCTAAAAAGAAGTCTCGGATTGTTGCTGAGCGTCACGGTAATTGCAACACTTTGATTACTTGTTCATGTTCTTCTCTTTTGGTTTTGAAATTGGAACAACAACCAATATTTATTGACTTATAAAATTTGCTTTTAATCTTCTTCTTTTTTTGTTGACAGATGATGATTACAGTAAGGAAGAGAAGATTTTGAGGGAATTTGACATAAATATGATATATGGTCCGTGTGTTGGATTAACAAGATTACAACGTTGGGAGCGTGCACAAAAACTTGGTTTGAATCCCCCACACCAAATTGAGAACCTTTTGAAAAGTGTCACTGTCAAAGTTCAATTAGAGTGCTTGTGGTATAAGCGCAAGTAGAAGTGTAGAGCATTGTTTGATTCAATAAATTCTATATCTGGTTGTTTTATTCTTCCATGATTGTTGTTGTTATGAGGAAAATAATATTGACCATGTTCATCATCCTTTGATATTTTTTGTTTTTCTTCTTCGTAATTTTGCAGAATCATTTGATTTAGCTGTTATTTTAACGTTTTAATTTTTTTTCATATTTGATTGGTCAATCAGGGATAAATGTATATAAATTGCTGTTGAGAGAGAAAGGGGGAGTTTCAATTTTGGTTGGCTTGATCCATTTGAATTTTGAATT